GGGCCAGGGCTTTGCCCAGGTTTCACACTTGAGAAGACACCAGCGCACGCACACCGGGGAACAGCCTCACCAGTGCGCGGACTGCGGCAAGGGCTTTGCACAGATTGCGCACCTGAGAAGACACCAGTGCGTGCACGCCAGGGAGCCGGCGCTGTGCTGCGTGGTCTGCGGGAAGGGCTTTGCCTGCCGCTCGAACCTGAGAGAGCACCAGCGCACGCACACCGGAGAGCGGCCGTTCCAGTGTGCCAACTGCGGCAGGAGCTTTGCGCAGAGCTCACACCTGAGAACACACCAGCGCACGCACACCGGGGAGCGGCTGCACCCCTGTCACGATTGCGGCAGGAGTTTCAGCAGCCCCAGTGCGCTGACCAGGCATCAGCGTACACACACCGGGGAGCGGCCCTTCCAGTGCACGGACTGCGGCCAGAACTTTGCACAGAGCTCGCACCTGAGAAGACACCAGCACGTGCACAGCGGGGAGCAGCCGTACCGCTGTGCTGAGTGTGGCAAGTGCTTTTCGCAATTGGCCAACCTCGCCCGGCACCAGGGCACCCACACCAACACCTCTCTGCCAGGGCCTGAGGGGCTTCTGGTGGCCGAGGAGACAGGGTGCAAGGAGAGAGCCATTTTCTGTAGCCATATTGTAAGATCTAAAGCCTGTAGCCTTTCATCTGCCACCAAATTAAAGGAGCATCAGCCATTGGCTGAGAAGCCAAGAGTCACATCCTCACGTTCCTTCTAAATGACATTAAAATAGTGTCACACCAGGCTGGTAAGAGGACCCTGTGGCAGTGGCCCCCACCGCCCTTAAAAAGAGAAATAGATCTTGGGATGGACAAAGAAAAGGAGCATTTTGTCTGGCAGGGGCTCCTCCTCAGGAGTTGGGGTTGTGAATCCTCATTCTCTGTTCTGTCATTAGAGTCCTCGCTGCCCTGTTGTCTGTGATCTCTGCTCACCCTGTGCAGTTACCTAGGTTCTGGGAGCTCTGCGTTCCTGTGGATGTCCCATTCCCCACCCTCTTCCCTCTAGTTCGAGGTTCTTGCAAGGCTGTGCGCGGCAGAGCAGGACCGTGGGGAGTTGCTCGCTCAGCGCTCGTTAAGTGCCTGTGTGAGCTGGGGAAAGTGCACAGGTGACCGGGCTAGGCCCTGCAGGGGTACATCTCAAGGAACCTCCGCTCCTGCCCCAGGGGAGTTGCTTTATTTTCATACCAGTAATGAGAAAGCTAAGAAGAGAGTCATCAAAAGGCTCCTATGCCTGACCATTCATTTTCAGAGGTGCGGGCCAGGACCCCAGCAGTGATGTAAATCTGCCAGCTTGTACAAAGTCTCTGGATTCCCCCAAACCCAGCGGGACTAGTCGGTTCCCTGTTTAGAAACCCAGGTCAGAGCTGTGAAGCAGGAAATGAAGACAAAAGAGGGATGTTAAAAGTTATAGCCCTGCACAGAGCCCTGAGCCTCTGACTGGGAGGGGGGGCTGGTTGATCACCTGTGAAGCTGGGCTGCCCCACAGCTTAGAGGGAACACTGGTCTTGGGTCACGGGGCCTCATCATAGGTCCTTACATGGTTTGCTGAATCCCATGGATAGCCATTGGCCCCAGGCTGCCTGAGGCATGTGTAAGGAAGGGTTATGGAGTGGGATCGGTTTCTTCATGGCCCATTGTGAGTGAAGTGTCCTTAATATGGGATACGAACACATGATGTAAATCTAGCTGAGGGGTGTCACCTCAGCATACAGCATATGCTTAACTAGGGATGTGATCTAGTCGACTAGCTGATAAGCAAATGCTTATCAGATAGTCAACACACTACAGGCAGTCCCCGGGTTACATGGATCCGACTTACATCGGATCCCTACTTACAAACGGGGTGAGGCAACCCCGCACTAGCTGCTTCCCCCCAGCAGACCAGGGAGACGCGAAGCTAGCACCTCCCCCTCCCAGCAGACCAGGGAGACGCGGAGCGGCTTTTCTCAGCAGACACCTCAGCTTGAGAATAAAGGACTGAGGGAAGTGAGGTGTGGGAGAATAAAACTGAGCTCTGGAGAAATGGTTGGCTAGAGTTTCCCCTACAATATGTACCAGTTCCGACTTACATACAAATTCAACTTAAGAACAAACCTACAGTCCCTATCTTATACGGGTCGCTCCCCCCCCTTGCTGCCTCTAGAGGCAGCAATGGGGAGGGTAGGAGGGGGTGCTTCAAAGTGGCAGCGCCGCATGGAACCTGGGGTCTGCCACTTTGAAACGCTGTGGGCAGCCTGGCCCCGGGCTGCACAGGGCATTTCAAAGTGGCAGCGCCGCATGGAGCCCAGGGCTAGCTGGGGATTCCCCCACTGACCCCGAGCTCTTTATGGCGCTGCCGCTTTGAAATGCCATGGGGAGCATGAGGCCAGCGGGGGACCGCTTCAGTCCCCTGCTGGCCCCGTGTTCCCCGCAGCGCTCTCGCCTTTGGAGTTCAGCATCAGCCCTGGGACTGTTGCTACTCTTCGAAGGGGGAGGTGCCCTTATCGACTAATAAATAGTCAATACACATTGCATCGACTATTTAATTAGCCGATGATATAAACTGAACATCCCCATTGCTTACCATCCAGATACACAGCCACTCTTTGTAACTTTGGATACAAAGATGATACATGCATAGAAAGAGATCGTCATACTGACCAGGCTCCATCATCTCCATCGATATCGAGCATAACACGCTTTGTGCCAGATTTGTTGCCGTTCTATAATAGTGTAGTATCAGTAATATAATTGGCCATCTTCATTGTCTTACAGCATCATGTGTAGATCTCCCAAATTCACAGATCCCCCAATTGATTGTGTCAAGAACCTAAATGCCCAGTAAAGCCAATGTCTCAGTTCTCAGTAGGGCCCGCCTCAGGTTCAAGATAAAACTTTGTGTTGCTCCCACTCCCAAAATAATGTAACTGTTAATCTGAAAAGTTTTGGGGTCTCTATTTCCAGTGGGTGGTTTGCACCTTTGGGGCTTGGTTACATTTTTTTTTTTACTTCTCCCACTCACAAGGGCTAAGGATGGTCTCTGGGTTTGAGTGACAGCTGAGATGCTCATGTAATCTTTAGGGTCTGGGAGGGGTTCAAGAAAAACACCAACCAGCACAATCAACTTGTCTTGGAAGGGCAGTGCTCTGAAGACGGGGTGCACATGATGTGGTGCAGTTTGCAGAGAGGATTAGCTCTGCTCTTGTTTGCACCGCAGCTGAAAGGAGGCTGCAGCATGGAACAAACGTTGGGGGAGCCAGGAACGGCCCCTAGAGGATGATAATGGTTCCTTCCGGCTTTGGCCAGCTCTGGCTCTCTGCAGAGCTCCCAGCTGGCTCAGAGCTCCCCTGAGGCTGGTGCCAGGGGAAGGCTGGTGGCTCCTAGAGGCTTTGCCAGCAGTTCCTTGGCCGGAGCTGTGGAGGGGAGCTGTCGCCGAGCTGCTGGTTGTTGCTTGCCAAGGTCTAGGAATACAAATGGCTGCTTCCTGCCATCAGCTGGGGGCTGCTCCCGGTGTGGCTGGCCCGGGGGGTGGCGCATGGGCTGGGGTATGTGTGTTCAGGCTACCCCTAGTAGTAACCTGCTGGCTACCCCCTAGTTGAATTCTCAGGCCCATTGTCTCTCTTGCCAAGTCTGGGCATTTCAGCTCCTAGGAGCCGTTTGGGCAAGAGCTAAAACTGCCAGGGACTGAATCCGGTTCCCCCATTTCCCTCTAGCCTCTGCCCCACACACTGCCCAGGTGTAGCAGGCAGAGCCTGCGGCCCTGTGACTGAGCTTTCCTATAGGGCTGTGTCTGGGGTTTGGTTCCTGCTGGGGTCCATGGGTCATAGTCCCCACACCGACTGGCCTCTCCTGGGGTGAGAATCTTCCTGTGTATAAGGGGCAGAGGGTGAGGCTCCTCAGGCAGCCACGCGTCTTCTCCACATCAGCCACTGGGTGGCACCGTGCCCCTGCTGTAACCAAGACTCGCATTGGAGGAGGAGCAGGTAGCCACCTGGAGTTATGGTTGCCTGATGCTGTTAAAACCTGTCTTCAGCTGCCTACAGCCGGGGTCCTAGCAACTCCACCCGCCAGGCTGGCCGCTTTCACCAGGTTTTAAAACTAGTAAATGCCACGATTCCATCAGCGACTGAAATGGAAAGTGTCCTGGTGGGGCAATTGTAGGGTCCTGGGCAGCGTCCCCCGAAGATTTTCCAGCCCTGGACAGAGGGCGTTTTGGCTGGTGCACAGGTATCGAGGGGGTGTGCGCTTGTTTGGACGTGTGACCACTGTGGCACCCAAGTTATAAATCTCTCGCTTTGCCCTTCTGTTGCCATGTCGCCCGCTTGCCCCTTGCCCCAGCTGCTCTCCTAGTGCCTGCTGCTGCCCCCCACCCCTCACCCTCCTCTGCTGTCCTGGCTTCTGCCCGTCTCGCTCCCTTCAGCCCGCCCAGAGCCTGCCCCCTCCCCGTCCTCGCTGACTCTCCCCCCCCATCCCATTCTCCTACCACCTCCCTCTACCCACTTGCCCTGCATCTCTCCTCTGTCGCCGGTTCTGCCCCGCCCCCTCCCTGTGGCTGCCTTCTGCTTCATCCCCACAATCCCCTGGCATCTGCCCCTTCCTGTACCAGCCAGAGGCTGCCTCAGGCTGCAAGCATCTGGGCCACCGCTGCCGAAATCATAGCAATGGCGGGCTGGAAGGAACCCCAAGAGGTCGCGCCCTGCTCTGAGGTCAGCGCATGTAACCTGAGCACATTTTGGAGAGAGTTTTTTTCTACTATCCCACCTAACCCTCGCTGGCTGCACACAGTCGATTTCGTCTTCTCCCACCCTTGGTGGGCATGGAGAACAGTGATCACTGGCCTCTTAATAGGTACTGAACTCCTGCCCTGAGGGGCACTAACCCCCCTCCCTCCACCAGGCCCTGCCCCCACTCCACTCCTTCCCCCAAGCTCCCAGACCTGCCCTGCCTCTTCCCCACCAACTCCCCAAAACTTGCATTGTCCCCGCTCCTCTCCCTGCTGCCTAGATCTTGCTGCAGGCCAGGAAACAGCTATTCAGTGGGGGATGGGACGCGCCGGGAGGCAGCAGCGGAGTTGAGTAGCAGAGCTACTGGCATGTGAGAGGTGCTGGGGGAGGGAGCAGAGAAGGGCCCCCCCCCCCATTCACTTTCTCTGTGCTGAGGTGGGGGGTGGGGTGCAGGCTGTGGGAGGCAGTTTTGGTGCAGGAGGGGGCTCCAGGCTGGGGCTCAGGGTTCAAGGAAGGGGTGCAGGCTCCAGCCAGGTGGTGCTTAACTCAGGTGGCTCCCAGCTGGCGGCACAATGATGCAAAGGAAGGCTCCTTGCTTGCCCTGGCCTGGCAGTGTTCCTGGAAGTGGCCAGACTGTCCTTGTGTCGCTAGGGGGAGGGAAAGGGGGCTCCACCTTCTGCCCCTGCCTACAGGCACCACCTCAGCAGCGCTCATTGGCCACAATTTCTGGCCAATGGGAGCTGCAGATTCAGCACTCAGAGTGGGAGCGGCCTGTAGAGCCCCCTTCCACCTCCCCAAGGGGCCAGTGACACGCCAGCCACATCCAGGAGCGGTGAGAAGTCAGGGTGCCTGTCACAGCCCCAGCTTAAAATCTCCCAGTTTCACGTCAGAAGCCTCCAGAGCTTGATTCCAGGAGACTCTTGCCTCTTCCTATCCCCAGTCTGACTCTTCCTGCAAGATCCTACAGTGGGCTGGTGCAGCCTGGTGATCTAGTAACTTCAAAGTGTAAAGTAACA